CGGCTGCAGATGCCGGCAAAACCCATTTAAGTCATCATTGTCTACTGGCTCCTTAGCCCTGATGATGTTTGGAGTTTCCAAACGAAAGCTTGGCAGCTTTTAGTAAAGTATATTTTTATATTTATACTCTCCTGGTGTTCGTATTTTATTTGTACCATATATATATATATATATATATATATATATATATATATATATATATATATATATATATATATATATATATATATATATATATATATATATATGTGTGTGTGTGTGTGTGTGTGTGTGTGTGTGTATACACACACACACAGAGAGAGAGAGAGAGATAAAAGAAAAAACGAACACCAGGATATAATAAACCAGCCTGTTTAATTGTTTAATATAAAAAAGCGTGTGGTTAAAAAGAGTTACTAAACTTTTGTCCGGCCAAAAAACTGCCGGCGTCATCAGAGTTAGAATAGCAGGATATTGGGATGACCACGACTCACATGGACCGAGATGATGGACCAAAGGGCCTTAAGCCAGGGATGGAAGCACTGAGGCGATCTGGAAAGAGGGGGAGGGAGGGGGAAGACAGAGAGCAGGAATGCCGGAACAGCTGCTTGTTGCAGGACTGGGGTGGAGGAATTACAACAACGGCGTTGAGGGTAGGGGAGGATAATGGCCCTGGGAGGGAGGGGGACTGGGCACAGGGACGGATTGACAGCCACTCTCCAAGTGCTTGCACACGCTCAAAAAGAGCACTTGAGGATTGTAAAACAACCAGTGGAGTCAAAGACAGTTTGCCTGATGTGGAACAACTCGGTGTGATAAGGATTAACACAATCAATGGGCCGATGACGCGCTTAAGGAGCCGGGCACAGAGGCAGGAGGCTATATGAGCTGCCTTCCCAATCTCCTGCTATTCTAATTCTGATGACGCCGGCAGTTTTTTGGCCGGACGAAAGCTTAGTAACTCTTTTTAACCACAGGCTTGTTTATATTAAACAGGCTGGTTTATTATATCCTGTTGTTCGTTTTTTCTTTTATCTGTTAGCATAATGCCCAGGATTCGCATTTTTAGTATTTTAAAAGATAGATAGATAGATAGATAGATAGATAGATAGATAGATAGATAGATAGATAGATATACACACATACATATACATATACATATATATTATTTATATATAATATAAAATACATGAGGCATTCCAGATATTGCTACACTACTGTTTCCAAATTCTTTAGCTTTGGCTATACAATAGTTTATGAACATCAGAATGGTATAGGACAGTGATGGTGAACCTTTTAGAGACTGAGTGCCCAAAAACTGCCCCCCCATCCCTGCTCCGCCCTGCCCGCTGGGCCACCCACCACCTCCACCACCCGCCACAGATCAAGGCAGCCCAGCAGCGCCATGGCAGCCACACCCTCTGCCCATGCCTCACAGCATCAGATGTGCATGACGGGCTGCAAGGGCGGAGTCTTGTCCCCACTGCATGGTTACCATGTCCTTGGCTGTGCTGCTTCGCGTGAGCTGCGCCTGAGGGCAGCTCTCCTCCAGGGGGGCTGCTGGTGAGGAGGGGGCCATGGGAGGAGGTGGGGCTGGGACGACGGTCCATATGCCCACAGAGAGGGTTCCAAGTGCCACCTCTGGCACGCGTGCCATAGGTTTGCTACCACTGGTATAGGACTAGGAAGTATTGGATAACTAACTAAATAAATTTACAGAGGCTTCTTCTCCACCTTTCTTTGAGCTACATGTCCCTTCTTTTATATCTATTGTCTTCTTTTTCCTTGCATTCTTAGACAGAAAGGTAAAAGCTTAATTTTCTTTTTCTCTCTGCGTGCGAGCATGTGTGTCTATGTATGTATGGTGTCCATGACAAAGAGAACTGATGAGGCCTTTTAACTGTAATCTCCAAAAAATGTAGTGAACTGGCAAACTATGTTAAATATGAAAAAAATGATTGCATGGTGATGGGGAAATCATCATGTGAATAATATTGCAACAATGAAGGATGTCACATTCGTTGACGGTGAAAAAAAATGCACATCGTATTTGAAATAGATTTTGAAAATCTTACCATATGGTTCCTGTTCTGATCCATTTCCCTTTCCCCCAAATAATTGTATAAAATATTTAAACTTTTAATATGTTTCTGTTTTGATCCAGTGTTTCTCATTTTCACATTTCACTTGTGCTTCATGGTCTTCTAGAACTGGAAGATTATATGAACAAATCACATATTTAATATATTTATTTCTTGATTGAATGGGTATATTCCAAACCTTCTTCAAGGTTTTGTCAGTTGATGTGGAAGATGGAAGAGCCTAAGACAAGTGAAAAGCAAGAGGAATCAGTATATGTGCTATGCAGTTCTCATGGTACAAGCTTGCAGGTTGTACTCCTGTGCTATTCATGGATATAGTCTATATTTTCCAATATTTGAAAATGCTTTTCAGAAATCATGTGCTATGTATTGATTGCATAGCCATGCACAACTGAAATGCTAACAGGAGCAACATACTATCTTGAATTCAGTATTTAAAATATGTGTGCAGTATGATTTGGGTATAATAATATTCTCTAATTTTCTTTTCTGAATCAGTATCTGTTTTACAAATGTTTTCAATGTATTTATTTCATCTTGTGGAGGAGCAAAACTGTCTTTAGGGCAAACCCCCCAAATTTTAAATTTGTAAGCTTAACAGTTTACAAATCAGATCTGCCCCATTTTTGTCTGTATTTTTCTCATTTGCACTTTTTGCATGGACTGTTTTTTTGAATATGGTATGTTGCTTTTTGTTATTTTGACAAATAGATTATTAAATATAAGAAAAAAATATATAATTATAACATAATTGAATCTGAAGATGGGCTTTGAAGAGAGATGAGTAATTCCAATCTTGTCTTCTTCCTATTTTTTTCCCATTATTTACCAAAGCTGGATCCACCACTGGCTTATTCCATGCCCTGGACAATTATGGAAAGTGTTACCCCTTTTTTACCATAATTGAATCCACAAGCAACAACTTGTCAATAGTCAATAAACTACACTGTTGCTGTCTCCCCTTCCTCACATCATTGCACAATAATTCTATGCTCCCATCATAGAATTATAGCTAGGCATTATACTGTACATTTTTTCTTAAGAATAGTTAAATGAATATTCATTACCTGAAGTACCAGGAGTACAAATTCCTAGATTGAAAAAGAAAGTTAAAGGTATGCTTGAAGAGGATTCCACTTTCTGAACAGATAAATATGTTTGCCCAGTCTCAATTAAATTTCTGGATTTATATTCCAAAAAAATCCCAACAACATTAAGAACGAACTCAGCCTCATGGTTTGTAAATCTTGATCATTCTTTAGACTTTTGCTACAAAGGAAAAATTAAAGGTGTGTGTCATTGGAAGTGGAGTGAAATCCACTTGCATCTCCTAAAGGTGGCTATTAATAATAAAAAATTCTCCCTAAATGGACCATCTATCTTGATTGCACCTAGGTATGACAAAATGTTAAGAAAAACATTTTTAATCACATTATGCCACTATACCATCATAAAGCATATGTGTAAGTTAATATCAATGGGGCAATGAGCAGGTTTTGCTTCTTTACAACAAAGTTTCCAAGTAGAATTTTTTATTTTTTCTTAGTAGCTAGACAACTACTAATCTGTTGGAAAGTTAAACTTGTACTACCTATCATCCCTGTTCTTTATTGTGCTCCTAGACCTAGAGCATATCAACATGCAACCCTCTGAGGTAGACACATATTGGTGCAGAAGATACTTATCATATTATATTGTTGCATGCCTTCACCGTGCTAAGAAAAGGCAGGTAAAATAATATACAAAAAGGAAGAGTTTTTCAATTGCCAGAAATGTAGGTTTTTTTACAAATCTGTAAAAGATAAATATAAATATGAAATAAGATATGAAAATTGGATCCTTAGTTTTCTATTTCCAATAAAAGTGAAGATGATGACATAATTAAAATGCTTGTAATCACTTTGCTGTTTCATTCCCTTGGTAGGTAATAAGTCTGTGTTACAGTTAAGAATATTGACCTTACATTTTCAAAAATTAATCTGATCTAGAAATCTTATTTGATTATCTGTTTTTTGGAAATGTATTGTGTCATGTGTTAAGTATATTCAGTCTATTTTAAATATTTGAATATTAAGTACTTTTCTTAGGTATTAAAATCATGTCTAATTTTAGCAGTGGGGGAATTCCACTGTGGATTAGCTATCTAATCTGAAAATAAAGAACAGTGTATCAAAATAAATAAGATTATATTTCTTAAAAATCATTCTTCATAAATTTCCCTGAATACACAACCATGCAATACTTTTATTAAGACTAATCAAATATGGACAAAATGATGTGTGATAGGAAATCTAATGTCTCAAATAAAAGTTTTGGTCTGACATGTTTTTTTTAAATGAACTAACATGACTTATTTTGTACAGTAAGGGAAAATCACTCTTTATATAAGCTCTAATATATGGACTTTTTTCTTTCACATGAAAAGTATTTTCAGAATTCTAATTTGATCTTTGAATTTAGCATAGAAAGAAAATATTTTAAATATTGCTCACGTGAAAATATTTTGAAAAGGAAATGTTTATAATATTGAATAAAGTTTGTTTGCTTGCTTTTCAGTAGCACAAGGCTTCTGGTTTGGGACAGTAAGAGACCCAGGCACTATACTTGTTGAGATTCCCCATATACCATATTCTGTCTGACTCACACACACATTCTCTCTGTGTTTTAAAAAATGATACACAAAATAGTTAAAATGCAACAGTCTGTAGAACCTGGGGAATACACTGATATTTTTTTCCATATAAACCAATATTTACCAGTAATCTTGTGTTTCTATTTTTGTTTTTTGGCAGACTTTTACCAGTAAATATCGGTTTATTCCTGAAACCAGAAGCCCTAAACATATCTTTGTTTAAAAGGTCAGTCTTATTTCCTGTTTCTGTCCTTCCCCATTTATTTACAAACTCTGTTGTTTTTCAGGTTATGGAAAGTATGGAGTATTCTTTTTGTTTTCCTGCTTGCCACCATTTTTTTTAAAAAAGTGAACTTTGTTAGACCTGCAGACTGGAGTTTTGGGCATTTAGGCTATTTTTTCATCTTAGAAAGTTTTATACACAGTTAATAATTATACTGAAGTCCCGAAGAACATTCAATTTAAATGTTTTTTATTTTAATATATAAAATTGCAGAGTGAATTAGTCACCCATTTACCAAAATTCTTAGGTGGGCATTGACTATTTATATGTTAAACATTATATAATTCCAAAAAGTGTTAACATGTAATAATGAAGCACTGCATTTAAAATAGAATTGTGCTTTAAGTGAATTTTGAAATAGATTTCTACAGAATCATTTAAATAAAAGTGGGATTGGTTTTCAATAAAATCATTGCCAATTCTACAGTGAGAGTACCCAATACGGAATGACATTGAATTTATTGAATTCAACATATTGAATATATTGCAATATTTTTTGAACATTTGAAATGTTAGTGATACATAATTATAGTATTTGACTGAAATTACCTGCTAGCACCCTTCTTTCCATTAACTCTTGTTTTTAAAGAACATGTATCAGTATCAAGCCATACTTTTTAATTTACAAATCAAGATAGTGTCCATATATGTGGAGCATTGATAAAATCAGCTGTACCCTCATGTGCTTCTTGTCATCTGCTTCTGATATATGAATGCCTGCAGTCCAATGGATGTATTGGGAATCTCACATATTGGCGATTGGGTTTAGGATTCTGTGTTCCTCTGCATTTTTGTGATTTCAAGCATTATACTAAATGGGTGAGACTGTGTAGGCTGTCATGCTATATGAATGTTGGAATGGCTTATAGAGTTGTGTAGCAGCATTTATCATATTTGTTTATATGAACAGTTCTTCCTCTTTAAACAAAATCCTTTTCATTCTTGAATTTTCACAATTTCTTGTCCCAACTGAAAACTAATTTTCCTCCCCTTTTGCAGCTTTCTTTTTGTGATTATGATTGTGCAATATTATTGACCACAACTTTAATCTGAGCAATTGACACTGGTCCATCTTCAAATCATTCAGAAGACTTGAAGAGAACACTTCTTTCTACTTTGGAATTCAAATGTATACATTTCATCTGAAATAAGTTATTTAAAAGTCAAACATGTCTCCAATTCAATACATAAATTACAGTACAATTCAAAAAGTTCCAGAAATACTATATTATGAGCCTTACCTATATAAATAATTCCTTTCATGGTTTCAATTTGAAAAAAAAATAGATAATTAATTAGGTATATCAGCTGTGCTTTTTTTACTGTCAATATTATCATTTTGTAATTTTGTCAATATTTAATCAAATTGTTTGCACAGATGCCAATTAAATTTTATTCAATGGTCCCTCATTTTTCCATGCTATATTTCTGTCAGTATTCAAGTTTCTTAATTAGAAAGATACAGATAATTTTGTGCGCAAACTTTTCTCATAATACTAAATATTTCTATAGAGATACAGAGATATATAGATACATACAGATGGAATTCTAAGCCCAATATTGTTAAATCTTTGTGGATTTATATCTTTACTAATATAAATCAGTAAAGATAATAAGATAATTTGAAATTGTATATGACACAATGATCAGGTTCACAATGTCAGGCTAAAGTTTCAGACACCAATTTGATAGGCTAGGACAATATACAGCAGCACCCAAGCAAAGCTTTTTCTAGCTAATTTGCTCTTATTACTTTAAAGTGTTAAAACAAGCAAGGATTTACCAAGTATGCATTGTTTTCATTGCAGGTAAATCATAAATCAATCTTAGCCCCTTAAAGATGGCTTCTAATCCTTAGTTGTTAGAAATATTTAATCATAGTCATGGGAATCTATTAATAAATTCCTGTTCCTATTTTTTTTCTCATTCTCACAATCAGAACAAGGAAGCAAAAGTGATTATGCTGTGTGTACTCAAAAACTGCTGATAGTTAACATGGTTTATTTTGCCATATGAAAGTTTTTTACTCCTCTATGTGCAAATCTGGCCAATGAAACAGCAGGGTTTATAAATATTTTTGAATAGATGCCATCATAAAGATAGTAAAAGCTGAAAGAAACTTCCAAATTTGACAGTATAAAAACAGAATAATAGTTTAAAAGTAAATCATTTTGAATTAGTTTTAAAATTATTTGAGCTTGAGATCTTCTCAATTTTCTCCTCTCTTGAATTCTTAACTTAGAATGAACTTGGCCCAAATGTAGGATTTGTCCCAAGGCTTTAGAACCTCGTGCACAGTTTAAACATTTCCAAACTGTTTTCTAGGTAAGAAGAATAATGGGAACTACTCTGGAAATCAGTGCTTGTTCTGAAAATCTTTTCTTCTCAAGATGAGGTACCTGCACAAATAATCCAGGAAATTCAGAATGTTATTGTCCCTTAAGAAATAATGACTGATGGATGACTTTTTATTATCTGAATGTAGGGATACTGTTAAAATTTAAAGTTGAGTGTTTTCCTTTTTCTCACAATGGTGCACATCATTGTATTTGAATGGAAAGATTTGACAGGGCAAAGTAATCCTAAATACTTTTTCTTTCTTTTCTGGGTTTGAAGATAAAATCTATAGAATGTTTTGCACATGTCAATTTTCTGTAAAGATGAGAACAATCTTTCTCTTGTCTGCATATTTTTGCTAGTTAATATTTATTAGATGTGCCAAGCTCCATTGGATATATTTTTATGTAATTTCTGAAATTATTAAATAACCATATACTATATGAGTGCACACATTAGAACACTGGAATGTTGAATTAAGCATTTTTATGTAAATAGTTACTATTCTTCAGTTGCAGAAAAGCCTGGATATCATCTCATAACTGTTGTATTTTGCCCTAATGGGAAATGTTCAGACATTCTGTGATGTATGTACTTGTGCCACTGTTTATGTGTAACTACTAATTATAAATTGTAAACATGCTTGTTTCATTGTTCAGAATAGTATTTCTCTTGTTGAAAATATTTTCAGTTAAATGTGAAAAGGAATTTATTTATTTTTTTATGATTGTCTTGCAAGGTCTGTTTTCTCTACTTTTTTCCTAAAAAAATAGTAGGGTAAAGATTGGAATTTTGTCTAGTTTTTCACTTGATAGACCAAAGTTACTATTGACACTGTCTTGCAATGCTGATCAAATGTATATCTTTTTGCACTTTAAATGAATAAGAAATGAGGAAAATCAAAGTGTCAATTGTACATACTTTCACTGTACAGTGAATGTATACCATTAGTTAATCTGTTTTTAAACAGGATATTTTCCTTTGTGGGAAGGGGAATACTTAAGCAATGTATTTGCTAGTCAATATAAAGTGTTTACATGTAATTACTTAATAAAGTATTTGATTTAAGATGGATTTTTCTGGTGATTTTTAAATGACAAACAATGATAATATCTGGTTTTTGTCAGGGTATAGGTATTTAAAAATTGTGTGAAATAATCAGTTACAATATATTCATTTGATTAAAATTCTGAGGAAGGCAAAAGTCTTCTTTGTTTCACTATGTATTAGAGAACCTATAGCCTCAAAAACTAGTCTGTTTTTTTGTTGGTTTTTCTTCTGTACTTGAACAAATCTGCTGGATATCCAAATGTCAAATTGTGACAGTTGTTCAGTATATCCAACTAGCTGATTCTGTGGCCCGTGATGCAGTAACATGTGGGCAGTTTTGTGGTGATCCTGCTTAAGCAATTTATGATATTTTGTTATGATACTATGCTATACCAGAGACAAGATCCCAAATGTTAAAATAGAACTCAACAGTAAAACTGTTGTTCATTCCCTTGATCCTATAAGATTGGGCCTTTGAAGTTTCCTTAAAAGGATTAACAAATATAATTAATATTTGAATGTACAAAAGCAAAGAGTAGATCTGTGTTCTTTTAGTTTTTGCATAAGTAAGTTGTATTCAGCAATAAAATGTAGATAAAATTAGAAATACTCTGTAGAATAACTTTCCACCACATGTATTAACTTTGTTTAGAAGAGCAGTCCTGAGTAGGCAGAAGTAGAAACATTACATTTCTATACAGTATTTCCCAAGTTCTAATAATTATGCCTTGGTTCAATATGTAGTTCCAGTTAGGTGCAGGAGGTGGATATCTCATTCAGTGATGAACTAAAAATTATGGATTAATAGATTTTATGAAACTAAAACCAAATCTTATGCTATCTATATGAGCCATGGTGCAGTGGTTAGAATGCAGTCTTGCAGGCTAACTTTGCTCACACTGCCAGGAGGAGTACAATTCCTTTGATCCTGACCAGCTCAAGGTTGACTCAACCTTCCATCCTTCCGAGGTCTGTAAAATGAGGACCCAGATTGTTGGGGGGGGGGGAATATGCTGATTCTGTAAACCGCTTAGAGAGGGCTGTAAAGCACTATGAAGCGGTATATACTGTAAGTCTAAGTGCTACTGCTATTGCTATCTTTAATGAATATATGAAAACATAATGAATGTCAATTGTTTCTATCCTCATAGCTAATGGTGAGAATTTTGGATTTTCTCTTACCTTATTTTAAGTTATATGAGAACAGAATTCAAATCCATCTTACATTGTATCAGGTGTGCTTTAGGTTAACAGATCAACTGATAGACGAGAAAAGGATTCTATACAGTAAAGCTGTAAAATAAGTGGCTATATAATACACAAAGGTTGTGGACTATATAACGTGGTCTAAATATAAACAGTGAGTTGAGATAAAAATTGAAATGTTGAAAGTGTACAATAAGTGGCCATTACTGCAAAAGTTTAAATGTTGACAAAATAAGAAAAATGTTATTGATATCAGCTGTAATTGATTAGAGCAAGGGAATACAAAAGTAGCAAATTAACATCCTGTTTTCAGCCCTTAGAGTTCCACATTTTCTTTTTGTTTTGGTGAATTTAAGGGACAAAATGAAGTGCCTTAATGTTTACAAAGGCTGAACTGAACTGAACTGCACTCCTTTAGGACTCTTAAAGCCTAAATTTGTAGACCTATGCCCACTACTTTTGGAAAGCAAGCCTCAGGATATCAGTCAAAAATCTGTTTCATTCCTTCAGTCAAAGAAGTTTTGCATCTCTGAGTTATGATGTTATCAATTACTTCTTCTCTAAATGGTCACTGTATTTATTTCTGTGTACACTTAGTCTTCATTTGAAATGTCAGACTGTAATTTTTGAATTACATTTTATCCTCCTGTTGTGTTGTATTCAGTTACTGAACAAAATGTATCATTATATTTCATGACATCATAAAATTAACAGGTTTTATATGCATTAGACAATTTCACTTAAAATCTGTAGTATACCCAGATATTGATATTACTATATGACTTAGTCTTTAGTCCTTAAAATCTTGTGCTATTATAAATTTGTTAATAGTTTAAAGTGCTTAAGACACTCTGCTGGTGTTTCTACAACAAAAGGACATGAATACTTCACTGAAAATGAGTGATAAGAGTCAATCATATGCAGTATGATTATGCTGAAAATTTGTTGTATGTTTGGTCCATTGATTGTTAGTGAAACAATCTTTGTTTTTGAAAAGAACAATATTTGTGAAGCAAAACTGAAAAACATCCAAACATGCCATGATAAACCCTATAACCTGGACAAGTTGTAGGCTAGCATAATAAAATTGCTTGTCGTCTTTACTCTCTTCAACTGTTTAAACATTTATTGACAATGTATTACTGTTAATGTAATATTATTTCTAGAAGCCAGTGACTATAATGTCTCCTGCTGGAGATGTGACTGTATGTTAGATTTCCAGTAACAGTAGTTTGGTTTTATCCATATTCCTACTGTTATGGAATACAATTCTTCTGAAATGTATAAAGTACACAATGTGGGTCAAAGACAGCATTTGGGTGTTCTGTTATCTCAATTGACATAAGACATCTTCTTCTTAGTATTAGAATTTAATATGAGATGTAGGTATGTAATTACTACAATTCTGTTAGTTAATCTCTCATCAGCACAATGGCAATTAATTTAATTTTGGTCATAGAGGATCATAAAATATAAAAAAGGAAAATTACAATCATTTTATTAATTTCACTGAAATGTATACTTGATAAAAGATTACTAAAAACTAAATTTCTAATACAATACTACAAAATTAACAGTGAAATATATATGTAAAAATTCTTACTATTAATACTAAAATGTAATATTAATTAATGGAAGCCTCTGAAAGCCACAAAAAATGATGGAAAAAAATTAGAAAAAATAAAAAAAATATTCTGTAAGGTTCCCCATGTCTGGTATCCTTAACTATGTGTTTGTGAATTTTAGATGATACAAGACAAACTCAACATTGTATGGTACTTTATCTGAGAGAAAATCAAGAAGAAAACTTTCATTATACCTCAACACATGTGACTAAAGGGAAAATGAAAATTTCTTGACCACATTGGTGATAGGAGCAATGTACAAGGACATGTATGATGGTCTCATTAATTGTCATAATTTCTAGAACTGCATAGCAGATGCTGAATTTTTAAGCAGCTCAGTTGAAGTAATAAATCTATAGAATCGATCATCACTAAGGCAAGTATAATTTAGTAACATCCTTATTATTTCATGGATGTACTCCTGAAAGAGAATTTCTATCTATCTGTAGAAAAACTTAGGGGTTAAGATTCTCACAGGTTACCAGTTGTCATTGCAATAAGGTAGTCCTCAACTTATTCATTTAATGACCAAAGTTGTAACTACTGAAAATGATGACTGTTTTTCACACTTACGACTGTTATGGCATCCCCATGGTCACGTGATCAATTGAGCCGCTTGGCAACTGACTTATATTTATGATAGTTGCAGTGTTCCAGGGTCATGTGATCATCTTGTGCAACCTTCTGACAACTAAAGTTAATGGGGAAGCCAGAGTCACTTAATAATCATGTTATTAACTTAACAACTGCGGTGATTTCACTTAACAACTGTGGCAAGAAAGATCATAAAATAGGGCAAAACTCATTTCACAAATGTCTCATTTAGCAACAGAAATTTTAGTCATACGTTGAGGACTTCCTAAATGCAGTCTCTAGGATATGAGACAACAAATCTTAATACCAATTATTTATGAAACAGGATGCTTGACTAGATAGGTATATTCTGATCCAAAAGGCTTCTCTTATTATTACAATCCTCCATGGTTTTTATTAATATTTAAACTGTTTTTTAATGTTCTTGAACTTGTTTGCATCATGGATTAGCACATACATTCCTAAATTAAAATGATTCCCTTTTCTTCTCAAGAGAAGAAATAAACAACCAATAAATCCAGAGTAATATATGTTCTTAATATTACCCATTAACACAATTTTGGAGGCCAGTGTATTGTGTCACTTCTAATTTAAAAAAAAATTTTTTTTCTATGCTACATTTCTGACATATTGTTAATTGTATTTTTAAGGATAAGGCTCTTGACTGTTTTTTTTTAAATATTAGACCTTCTGATTAATTTATGACATGTTGAAGCCTATAACTGGATCATCAGATAGCAACTGAAGGACAATTTATGGTTTTGTAGTATAGTTTTAAATTTAACTGAATAGTACATAAAACAACTTAATTTCAAATATTTTAAAAACACCTGCTTTGGTTTTTGATATTACTTAACCGCCTCTGAATTGATCCAAGAAAATTAAGTGTTCCTCAGACTTTCTTAGATTCTGAGATTCCTATACTTAGACCATATACTAAACTTGAGAAAATGTTATTGTGAAAGCAGCTGGTGATCAATCACCATTCCCATTCCACATCCAGTTTGATTTTTATTTGATATGTGTTAATTTTAAGTTAACATATCAATCAAAGATTATCTCTGAATTTTCATTTGGACTTGGATTTTAATCAGAAGTTATCTTTGCATTTTATTTTTAGTGGAGTCTTTGGTACTCTCTGATTTTCAGTGCAGGAGTTCTAGTAAAGCTCATACAAGTGGACATTATATAATATAGGATCCATACCTCTTTGGGTTGGGAGCTTAAGAAAAGGAAGGTGGGCTGTATGTATCATTCTAAAAACAGACTCTTTACATTCCTTTCCTCAATGCTACTAAGTTTGGGCCCCAGGTAGCTCCTAATCCTAATTCACTGTGTAAACTTACCTAAAGTGCAGTGCCCCACAACTTCAATTCTAGTAGAGGGCTTGAATTCCATAGAAAGATCTATGGTAGTCAATAAAAATAAAAACACCAGAAAGGGTATAAACTGTGTAAAAACAGAAAACTTCTCCTGGCTCACAAGGGGTAGTGGTCATCTAAAACTACATAATATGTTATTTCAAATAATAACTGTATTTAAGAAACAGTGCAAGTAATTGAAATTATATAGTCCTCCAAATGGTCATACCAGAAAAGTCTGTGGTTGTTATTGTTATTCTGTTAATTTGGACTTTTAACTCACTTTACTTGACTATACTATAGATAAAGGCTAGTTCTTATAATAAAACGTGAAAGGAAGGCTAGTTCCCCACCCCAAATAGGAACGTAATGTAGGTTTACTAAGAGTACAATAATGTAGGAAGACAAGTTTTTCCCCTCATTTAAAAGGGTGTGTATCTTAAAAGAAAAAAAAAATGGGAGAAAGTTTACTGTTTTGAGAGGGTCTTTTGTGTCTGGTAGGAGTTTGGTATTTGCTAGTTGCTATTGAATTCCAGCAAGGAATGCCAACAGTAACAGTATAACAGAGTTGGAAGGGACTTTGGAGATCTTCTAGTCCAACCCCCTGGTTAAGCAGGAGACCCTATAACATTCTGGACAAAATCATTCCACCGTTAATTGTTCTTACCATCAGGAAATTTCTAATTTTTAGTTCTTAGTTGGATGTCTCTTCGATAAATTTCCAGCTGTTACTTCTTGTCCTGCCCTCAGATGCTTTGGAGAATGAGACAACACACTTCTCTTTATAACAACCCATCAAATATTGGAAGACTGCTATCAAATCACTCCTAGTCCTTCTCTTCTTTAAACTAGAGATACCCAATTCCTGCAATCGTTCATCATGTTTTATCCTCCAGTCCCCTAATCATCTTTGTCGTTCTTCTCTGCACTCTTTCTAGAGTCTCAACATATTTTTGTATCATGGTAATTCAAACTGGATGCAATATTCCAAGTCTGATCTTAACAGTGCAGTATAAAGCGGTACTAACACGTTGTGTGAGCTTGATATTATCCCTCTGTTGATGCAGCCTAGTACTGAATTGGCTTTTTATGCAGCTGCAGCACACTGCTGGCACATACTTAAGTGGCTGTCCACTAAGTCTCTTAAATCCCTCTCACAGTTACTGTCTGTTGAGCTAAGTATCACCTATTCCAGGGGTAGGCAACCTCGGCTCTTTTATGACTCTTCAAGAGTTGAAGTCCATGAGTCATAAAAGAGCCGAGGTTGCCTACTCCTGACCTATTCTATACCTATGCATTTGCTTTTTCTTTTCTCTACATTGAATTGCATTTTGTTGGATAGGGCTTAGTATTCCAATCTGTCAAAATCCTTTTTGATCTTCTAACATTATTTCCAGATTGTTGTCATCTGCAAATTTGATGTTCCCCTTCTATCTCCTAACCTAAATTGTTTATGAAAATATTGAATAGTATTGGGCCTGATCAGAGCATGCCAGTAAAAGACAGCAATTCTATCTCTCTTTGTAATCTCTTGCAAAGCTAGCATCCAGTATTGTACTAAGGACAGGTGCAATGGCAAGCAGTACATTTCCGTCTGATAAGTATTGATCCCTAGAATATGCAGTAAATCCATACATGAATTTATTTGGCATCATGAAAACCATTAATTTTATTCTGACATTTGCTTATATTTGTGTTTCTTCCATTATGCCACTTCACAATACAGAATATGGGAGATATATTATGTTGAAGAGGTTCTCTTATTATTGTATATCTATTCAGTGCCATTTTTGTTATTTTATATTAACAGAATTGAAATTCTGAGTACAGACTTTAATTTATACCATTCAGTTTTAATTCTCAAGTAGATCTTTTGCATTTTAATGAAATTATATATCTGTGTGGAATGACATATTGGACCAGGGACAAGTATATGAAACCTGGTATATGCAATTGCAATTTCTGTAATTTTTTTCCTGTTCTGAATGGTTATATTATGACTTGGACCTATATGCTTTGAATTTATTTATAGGGTTTATTTCAGCAAATGGAGACACAAGAATCTTTGCGGAACATGTAGAGTCTAGATTTTTAATGCCAGAGCTGCATGAAATACTGGAGCTCTGATGAAAATATGCTTTTCTTTAAGTTGTTTTGTTTTTTGAAGCTGCAGTATTACAAAGAAGAAGGATACCAATTTGAGGCAGAAACCTGGATTGATGAAGACTCTGTTTATTATATTTCACCCAATACAAATGAGCATACTGTATTTGCAAATGTAGACTAATTGACTTCTTTGCCAACTGGTCTCTCTTTTCTTTTTGCAGGTATATGCATATTGAGTTCAGTGACCAGGAACTTGTGTAACATATTTAAAATCATTTTATTCCCCCCCCCCCTTATTTTTTCTTTAACCTGCCACCAGGATTGGGCATGTAAAGTTAATTATTTTTAATGCTTATTTTCTCTCTCTCTTAAAAAAATGGTGCTTTTAATTTAGATTATACGCTACTGAAAAAGTCTGGTAGGTTTATTCAGAAAACTAAGAGAGAGAGAATATAAAGGTGTAGAACAAAAAAACAAAGTAGAACATTATTAAGAAAGTGACCAAAACTGGGGGAAAACATAAGGCCGTTGTACAAACTTGATATATATGTGTGTATGTATATATGTATATATGTGTGTGTGTGTGTGTGTGTGTGTGTGTGTGTGTGTATCTATATATCTGTCTGTCTGTCTGTCTGTCTATCTATCTATCTATCTATCTATCTATCTATCTATCTATCTTTGGTTATTCGGGTTATATATATATGTTTTTGTGGGTGTTTGTATGTAGGTCTTTGGTTATTCAGGTTTTCTCCCACGTCAAATTGGAAGTGTCTTGGCGACGTTTCAATGAAGTCCCATTCGTCATCTTCAGGCTGGTGTTTTCGGCTTCTTGCTTCTATAACCAAAGACATATATATATATATATGTGTGTGTGTGTGTGTGTGTGTGTGTGTGTGTGTGTGTATTGTCTATCTTAACAAGAATATATTGCAATTTTAAAATTATGAAGAGAAACAATATATGAAAACTTAACTTAAAAGCAGCATACAAACTGATAAATATGTACAGTATATATGTAAAACCAAGATTACCCAGTGAAATTCACATATAAGTGAAGTATCCCATGATAAACAATTCTCCCATCTAGCTTTTTGTAATTTCTTCATCTGTTTTCTGCCAGCAAAAAGATAATGCAAAAATGTTTTGACTCTCCCCCTTTTGTAGTTTACATCAGGAGTCCCCAACCCCCAGTCCATGGACCAATACCGGGCTGCAGCATGCCAGCAACCAGTCCGCACAAACAAAGCCCCATCTGCGGGATGCAGGCAGCACACAAAACCACTGGGGACCTCTGGTTTACATAATACATATTGTTACTATTTCATATACAAACAGGAACTTATTATCATGTGCTTCAACCACAATCACATTTCAAACTGATTTTGGGAATACTACAAATGCTACATCTGCTTGGAGCAGCTGGAAAAACATCAAGATATAAATCTAACAAATAATTAAACCTGTGAAAGTTTTTTAAAACTTTATTCTCATGTTGAACCAAATATGTAATGTTATAGAATGAGAGATGATGCACTGGACTCTTTTTACTTTGCGTTTGGACAGTGGGAAAAAGCTTGTTGAAGAGAAGGAAAATGGAATGGAAGATGAAGAGAGTGTCCCTTGATCCTGCTTCTCCCATTGCAAGTATAGTTATTTCAGTTGTCAATTAGATACTTGTCATTACTTCCATAGCAAAAATATGCCATATCAAGCTAGATTCTCTTTAAGGTAAAGGTAAAGGTTATCCTGTCGAGTCTGACTTTAGGGGGCAGTCCTCATCTCCGTTTCTTAGCCAAGGGAACCAGTGTTGTCCAAAGACATTTCTGTGGTCATGTGGCTAGCATGACTATATACTGAGGCACATGGAATGCTGTTACTTTCCCAGCAAAGTGGCACCTATTTATCTAATCACATTTGCATGCTTTCAAACTGCTATGTGGGCAGGAGCTGGGGCAAGTAATAGAAACTCACCTCATCGTGGGGCGCTCAGGTCTTGAACCTCAGCTGACAAGCTCAGAATCTTTAATCACTGAGCCATTGCAACCCCCCCCACACACACACCAGATTCCCTTTATATCTTTCTTAAGATCCTTTATAGTACAACAAAATGTCTGCTGTTGTCTCAGGAATAATGCAAATACCCAGATTCAATTTTCATCATCAAGAAAGCTACAAATATATTTATCTTATTTATTATGTATTCCTTCCATTTTATTTCTGTCTAGCCAACCTTACCTGATATGAAAAAGCTAAGCAATTTAGGTTCAGCTAGTATTCAAATGGGAAGACCACCAGGAAATCTTAAAGCTTTAATATAAATGAGAAGTAAAAAAAAAAAAAAAAGGCAATGGTGTACTACTTCCTTGTTTTCCCCAAGAAAACTACTTGGACATTCTCAGTCACCCTGGTCATAGTTCTCTCAAAAGTGCTATTAGTACCTATCCTTCCTTGCCTCCTCCTCCCCCCTGTCCCCCACCATCACAACTAAGAAAGTTTCTTGATGAGAAATAAAACGTTTTGTTCTTCTCCCTCAAGGAAAAAACAGTTCTCTTGCCTTTAAAAAAAAAACACTTTTGAGACATACTTGGACATATCCATAAAATCACCCAGAATTAAATCAATTTGAAGAAGACTTTGTTTTTCTCTTCAGATTATGCTTATAATAACAAACAATAATTAAAATATTAGAAGTTCACAATTAATTTAAAATCAAAAGTAAAATTAATCAACATGAAAAAGTCTTGCAAAAATACACAACTTTATAGTTTTTTCTAAAGACACTACTGGACACACAAAACTCCTAAGAAGGTACATGCCATAGGGAAGGAATAACATAGGAGAAGGTTCTCTCCCAAGACTCAGATAAATGAGAGGCTTCATTGTTTCTCTTAGAACCTATTCCTTAAATAGGTCCATCATTTCTTCAGCTTTGCTCACAGTTACTCATGAGTTTTGGCCCAACTGCAGTTGTTTAAATTAGTAACATGGTTGTTAAGTGAATCTGGCTTTTTCATTAACTTTGCTTGTCAGAAGGCACAAAAGATAATCACATGACCCCGGGACACTACAACCATCATAAATATGAACTAGTTGTCAAGCATCTGAATGTAACTCACATGACCATGGGGATGCTGCAGCAGTCATAAGTGTGAAAAATGGTCATAAGTCAATTTTCATTTCTAGTCTGTCTTTTACGGCTATGTTTTTGGTAAGTTGAGCTAGTTTCTTTTTGCGTGAAGACTGATGCAAAGAATAAGTTAAGCCATTTTGCTTTCTCTCTATTGTCTGTTACTTCCTTACTTTTTCCTTGACTTTTTTCTTGTTATTTATATGTTAAAAAAAGTGTTTATTATCTTTGGCTTTTGTTGCAAGTTTTTGTTCATTCTGAGCCTCTAGAGTGTGACCTCTAGAGTCACTTATAAGTTTCTTATATGATTATATAATTGATTTCTAGAGTCTCTTATGAGTTACTACCACATATTAATTCTGTATGTTGCACATCAAACATTATTAAAGTCACAAAGTGCAATTATATATATATTGTATTTAATTTAACTCAATTCAATTTAAATGTTAAATTTTATTCTAAACATTAACCCCTTACATGCCATCCCAGCAAAATTAAATATTCAGGTTAAAAATGGCTGCCTTCCCCCAAGATAAATTATGAGGTTTGCCCTCCTGAATCTAGCAGTCATTGGAAGCCCAAGTGTCTTCCACAGTGGATGCCATCTTCTGCCATCTTCTAAGAATCATGCACCAGCCAAGGCTTCCAATAAAATAACTGCAGTTTGGCTATGATTAGTTAGATTGGTAAACTCCATATTGGAGCATAGTAATATATTGTTGATGCACTGTCTTTGAGGAGTTTTCAAAATGTTTAATAATCCAGCTGAATAGAATTTTCAGTGGCTGAAAATATATATCATTATATTTCAGGGCAAGAATTTGATCTTATTTCATTTCCACAGTTAAAGGACTGCTGCCAGTGATATGGAAACGAGTGGCTATATCAATTTAAATTTAATAAAAAATACACTTATTTTGATAAACAAATAAATAAAAATATTATCATTCAATTAATTACTAATCACTGAATAAACCTGAAATTTAATATGAAAACAAGGAAAGAGGGTATATCTGTCTGCTTTCTCTCCATCATTCAACATTTTGTAAGCTTCTTCCCTTCCCTTCAAATCATCCCTTTTTCTGAACTAAAAGCTTTAACTGTTTTCTCCATATTCTTTTTCATGCTCTCTTTTTGAAAAACAGTACAGAGTTTAGAATTACCAGCCCCCAAAAGGCACCTGTTGTGAGCCTGCTACTGCTCTCAGACAAACTCTGGGCAGTTCCATTGAGAGAAAGCTGCCGGCAAGTGCATGAAAGACTTCCCCATTGTGGCATTCCATATATGCCACAGCACCCGCTTGGTTTCTTCTAATCATCTTCCCATGAGGTGATTTTTATACTGCTGTTTTATGTATTTTAGTTTTTACTGTTTTAATGTTTGTTGTAATCTTTTTAACCATTTTAATGTGAACTATCCTAAAAAATACTTCAGATGGAAAATTGCATACATGTATGTATATATGCTTGAATAAGGAGGGAAAACATTACTTCAACACATGTATAGAAAGATCAATTCAAGCATCATTCACTAGTTACAGAAACAATATCGTGAGCTAATAAGCAGATATCAGCTTCCTAAAATCAAACTTTGTTACAGTAGGGGATTTGCTAGCCCAGGCGACCTCAAGAGGAAGCCTGCAAGATGGAGTATCTGAGAACAGTCTCTGGTTCAGAAGAAATTTTACCTTGGGCTTCTTATATATACACTCATATTCACTTAGCAGTTAGTAAGATGCCTCTGAATTGGCTTGGCCTATTATGAAAATAAAACTAGAATCTAAAACAATCTGTTTAAGAAAACCAATTTAATACCAACCAGAATGCTCCTTGAACTCCCTGCTGATGGCCCAAAAGTGAAGGTGATACATTGTTCTGTTTCCTGAAATTCAGGAATAAAGACGAACAGTGGGCTGGAGAAGTAAAGAAGATGCCAATTGTTGGGATGAAAGCAGAACAATGTTAGCCAAATCTAGAAGGAAAAGGATATTTTTTAATGACAACAAATATCAGAATAGTTGATCATAATAGATCATAATTGCTTTTGTACAATAAGGTGAAAAGTAGACATTAGAAAGAGAAAGAAGATAAACACTGACACTTAGGAAGGAGAAAAACAATATCTTCAAATTATACATCTAACAATGGTTACTAAGTACTGTGACTGCAAAAGAAGCAACCTGTCAACATATTCTGAAACAAATAAATATTGACTGCTTTGTTTAGGTGATTATCACCAAACAGATTTTTGGGTATATGTGATATGAATGGATTATTCACTAGAAAAAAATATTGTGCTTGACAAGAATGAGGGAGGTAGATGGAAGGATAAGGTGGATGGACTAAAACTGCATCATACTATTGGTTCATGTTCAGCTTGTGATCCATCAAGACACACACATTGTTTTCACTCCTGCTGCTGTCTAATACGATATCCCCTATCCTATACTTATACCTTTGATTTTTATATCAACCAACTGAATGTAGTTTGGTGTTCTGCAATTGCCAAGAAAATTCTCAGCAGCATCCCCGAATGCCTTCCAGGTGATCTCCTCTGGCCTCACTAACAGATCTTTGAACCCTTTGTCATTGAAGATGTATCTGATCAGTGGACCAACAAAAATGTCTTCTTTACTTATGGCATCAGTTATTCTTCGAAACGTCGGTCTCAAGTAACAAAAACATTCACCTTCCTTGTTTATCACTTTCATATTTTTTTTCATTTTTATGTGAAGTGGAAGCACAAATATCTTTGTTGGGTCAATAAATGGTTCATGCATCATGTTTTCTGTCCTGGAACCAAATTCTTTCAGAGTGGTCATTTCTTTTTAATGTAATGCGACTCTCTTGCACATCTGTCCCATTCGCATTTGTAACAACCGTACTTCGTATATCTGAGCTAGATGCCAAGCAGCAGATCCACTACTTTTAGCTCTTCACAGATATCCCAGTTGTACTTGCTATAACTGGATTTGATTCAACTACAGTTCCATGTTTCCATATGTTTCTTTCACAGCCAAGAGGTACTGAAGAGTGTATACTGCAAAAAAGGAAGATTTCTATAAAATGGTAAATGATGGATTAAATTACAGGTTATTTTCATGATTAGGAGCCAGAAATCCGTAAGATACACCCAAAAGCATTCAGGAAACAAAATCTTTGTTGTCCCAGTGCCTTTCTTCAATCCTCATGCTCTATATCAATCCTCCATGATTTAGCAAAGATACAGAAAGGGGCTTTGAGCTAACGTCCACAAGTTTCTTCAGGACACTCAGATACAAATGGCCTGATCTGGAGATTTAATGTCTTACTTGGGGTGCCATTCCATCTTTGTGCTTATATGACATGGGAGAACGCTAAAGCACAGTAGAATTTTTTTGCTTTCTCCCGTCATCTGTCCTTAACTTTTCTGCTATACTTCTTTGGTAATTAAACACATTTCCAATACATATCCGCCTAATTATTTATTCAGCTCTCAATGCATCCATATGGTCCGTAGATAGATTTGTTGATATCCTCTGCTCAGCAAAACATTCTTTTAAATTTATTTTAATTTCAGCTGTAAAATTTCAGAATACTTTGTATCTTAGGCAGTCCATGTTGATATTGTTAAGACAAACCTAAGTATTCTGTGCGTGAAGTAAATATATTGGCAAATGTGGAAGGTGCCAAGTTTTGCCACAAGAGATAATAAATCAAACTCAGAGTTAATTTTCTGCCTATGCAAGAAACTATTAGAGTATCAGAAACATCAACAAAACATCAACAATGTTTTCCTTTATGTACCACTCAACTTCCTTCTCAACTATTCACATGGCAGCAATCCCAAACCTACTGCCTGGATAGGTTTGACTAAAATGCTAGGCATCCCCAGAAATGTTCCATTGCTATTGGAAATGCTGGAAATTGTCCAATACAGCTAGGAGCTAAAAAGTGAGAGAACTCACTGCAATATGGCCATTGTGGGGGGAAGGGGAGGGAGAATTTTAAAATAATAGTTTTAATTTTGCAGGTGAATTCCCATTTCCTATATTCAGTAGTGCCAACAAAGAGTCAAGCTTGAGAATTTGGGACCATTTTTCTGGAAATTGCATAGGTAGAAACTTTATTCCACAGCATGGTCAAAAGTGCCCTCTATTGGCACATAATAGTACCATAGGAATTCTCCAATATCTAATTGTTTCAAGATATTTAACACTCATAAAATACTTCTGGCCGTTGTAATCTTTGACATCTTAAGTGTATTCAGGTAAACATCAGATAGTAGCACAATTGGTATGTCATTATAATGTTCTTCAAAGAAATGCCTAGAAGAAACAAAAAGGAATACTTGGAATTTATTTTATTCTTTGGTTTTTTTAGCAGCATTTTCTCTTCTTTCTTCCCCAGTTAATCTTCTCATACAGGGGCAATAATGTATTAGAAAATATTAAAAGGGTGTTTTTTTAAAAAAAGTAATATTTTATTTGGCAATTTTAAATTGTGCTGTAACAGCCATATTTTTTCAGTTTTATGTAAGCAATTTCTTAAACTGGAATTTGTTAATATTGCAGAAAAATATCATGTATAATATTAAGAAAAATAACAGCAGAGCTAAATTTTTGGCCTAAAACTGTCATATTACTAGATTTCTAATGAAGCATGCAGATGAAAAATTTGTCAATGCTGAATTGATCAAACAATCATACAGTTCTATTTTTTTATATAAGAATAGTTAAGTTTTTAGGACAAAAGACAACAATTTATTTTAAATCCAAAAGTCAACACAAGTCTATATTTCATACCAGTAGTTCAGCCTTTTATTCAGAAACAGTTATAAAACTTAGCTGTTATATCTTGGTCCTTTCCTCATTACTGAAGATTTTATAAAGGCACAAATAATGGGAAAGGCTGAGAAATAATATGTTGCTTTCAGTCTTAGGAACAGAGCCTCAGCTTTGTTGTATTGTTGTGCAGTTTTGCAAGTTAAAATACTATATATTGCATTGTTTACTTAATTACAAATGGCCCTATATATTGAAAAATTGATAAGATATGTAAATTTTCTCAATGCATAAGGACTGCATGTGTAGCCCTCAGTGAAAATTGGGATTCTCTGTCTTCAGCTGTCAATTAAAAACCATTAGACATTGTTTCCAAAATGATGAATATTAGGACTAAGAGAATTAGAGAACAAAGAAAATATTAAATTGATAATAGTCATCACCACAGGCAAACTGCTTACATGTTAGTGCATCCAACAAGGCAATCATTCCTATTAAGCCAGCTGCTTTCCCAAAAATTTAGTGTTATTTTTAAAAAACATTTTGAGAATTTAATCCACTACTGAATATAACATTAACTCTTGTGACATAATCTTTAAGCTCTTCTTGTACCAGAGCCAAATTCCTTGTGTGTTTAATCACACTTGGCCAATAAAGTAACCTATTCTTGTTCTATTTCAACTTCCATTCCTAATTCCATTCCATTCTTTCCAAAGACCTCTGCCAGGACTGCTAACAGGGCTTCGGACACTACTGGACCCAAATCCTTTATCTTCACGAACCACCAGGGGTCACTGGACCACTACTGTCCTTGAAATCAGAGACACGCTGACATCTTGTGGGTATTACTAATAATACTAATAAAAACAACAATGATGATGAGTTGGAAGGGACCTTGGAGATTTCTAGTTCAACCCTCTGCTCAGGCAGGAAACCCTATACCATTTCAGACAAATGGTTGTCCAGTCTCTGCTCTTTCCTCAGCTGAAACCAGTAAAAAAACAGTGCAAAATTCAATATTTTTATAGCATTCAAAGCACCTCACGTACTGCTCCTTATCAAGGATTTGACAGAAAATCTGTCATTTAGTTAATGGCAATAACCTTTCAGTTCATAGCGCGGAAATTTTCCTTCCTGCACTGGGTTTTTGTTGTTAGGAAATGGATGCAGGTATATATAGTATTTTATTACCATTCAAAAAAAAAAAAAAATCCCAGATCCCTAACTGCCATCTTAGTCATACATCAAAGACGTTTTGGAGTTCGATGACAAACAAGTCAGCACTGTTATTGGTATTTCGCCCCAATTCTAAGCGCCTTCCGGAAACTACGGAAAACATTTTTTTTTCCGGAGGAAGTTTGTGGGCTAATGCCAGATTCTCCCTGGGTTAGTTAGATATTTTTTAAATTTTTATTTGCTCTTTTATCATTTAGTGAACAGCCGAGAGTCTGCTTGTGAATGCAGCAGGCTAAAAATGTGATAAATAAAATAAACAAGCACGTTGTAAAGAACGCAGCCAGACAGCTAAAAGAACTGGGAGAGGGGGTGATTCCTGCATGCGTGAGCTGCCTACCCCACTCCCGTTCCTTCTTTTGCCGCGGGACCCAAAAGATTGGACATTAGGCGCACAAGAAGGAGGGCCTTTCAATAAAAGGACCTTAACATCCCCACCGGAAACGCGGACGGGAGGAAAGCGCTGTACGCAGGTCCCGGGTGCATCCGCGGGTCCGCGCATGCTTGCAGGGCTGGTGCGGTGGCCCAGCGGCAGCGCCCACCCTCGCTGGACGCCCGGTGACTGGAGCTCCTGGAGTGACGTCACGGCCGTGCGCACTTTGCGGTTGTGCTGTGGAAACCGGGTGGAAGGAAGGAGCGAGCAGAGAGAGATCGCGGGCAGGGTGGACGGCGGAGACGAGCCTGGGTGAGACAGGTAGGCGCGGCTGACCCTGCTGCTGCTGCTGCTGCTGCGTGGGACGACGCAAGGGCTGGGACGGAGCTTCGGCATCGCCGGTGGAGAAGACCCTTGGGAAGCTCAGGGTTTGGGGGTACGTGCCCGTCGAACCTAGTCGGCTTTTTAGACGCCGGGGAGCGGGAAACCAGGTTCGGTCCCTTATCCTGAGCGTGAAGGCCACTCGGCAGCTCCAGCCCTGCGGCTGCCCCGGCTGCTGCTGTGCTGGTGGTCTCTCGGGGGTGGTGGGGGCTGCCTTTCTGGCTCTTCGCCCCACTCGGGTCGAAGCTTAGAGAGGCAGGCGAGGTTGTGCTTTGCTAATAGTCACATCGCGGGCTGAGGAAATCGTGGGGGAGAAGAAAGGCCAACACGTTTGGTGTGCGCGCACGTACTTCGTATGTGTAACCTCTGAAAAGGGATGCCCCAGCCCTCCTGGCCTTAGCAGGATGATGTGGCTGTTAACTCTAAAATGTCAAAGTACGGTTCTGCCCTTCCAGCATTTCTAGGAAGAGCGATATATAGCAAGGCTGCGCTGGCTCCTTGTGAAGTTACCAAACCCTCTTTCTTTGGGGGCCAGGAGGAAGAGGCTTCTGGGCAAAGGTTGAATCTAACTAGCAGAAGGATGTACAATAACAGTTCGTTGGTGGCTGTGGCGGGGCAACTGCTGCTTCTTTCTTTGAGAAGGATGGTAGGAGGCAGCTAAATAACTAGAGCTGTACTATATGTACTGTAAGGCGCAGTCTGGCTAGGGCCCAATCAAGCTGCCTTGGCTTAAATTATTTTACAGGGTGGCCTTGAAGATAAAAAATCAAGGGGAGGATGGGTGGTAAAAAAAAGTGCAAAAAGTTCTTTAAGAGGGATAAAACTATTTTCAGACATCCATATTAGTATCTAGCAATTGGAACAAGTGTGGAATATAATTTTATTATTGTTTTATTGTTTATTGAAAATGTCAATGTATGGGTAAAATTTACCATAGTGCCCATGCCAATGCTGATCTCATTTGATTGGCAAGCTTGTATTAGCCCACAGCCTTTCCTAATAACAGCCTTGGAGAAGATTGGCCTGCAGAATGCACCTTGGTACTAGTGATTTTATTTCTTTATATAATCTTTTCCATCTCCATTCCTCATCTTGTGACTCTTTATTTTTCTCCCCCTTGAATAAGAAGTAAACTTACATTGTTTGCTTTTTCTTTTCTGATGTATTCCAGTACTTGGGACCGAACTCTTTGGCAAGACCACTTCCCAAACTCCTTTTGAATGTCTTTCCCGGCCAGGGTTCTTTTCCTGATTTTCTTTAAGATTGAGATGAATATCTGTCTACCTTTCCACTATATTGTTTCAAAAACAAATTATCCAAATTGATTTTTGGTCAAAGATAAGATGCTCATTCGTTAATTATAGTCTGTGTGTTTATTAATTGCTGTTAATGTGAGGGTCATATGCTGGATCCAGTTGTTCCTTAATTTAGTTGCAGCTTTACAGGAAACTGTTCTACGGTTTTACTCGGTGGAAATGTTGCAATTTCATTTGAATCCATTATGGTATGTCACAACCATTGAGTTTTTTTATCTTCCTCATTCCTGTGTTACCTGTATTCATTTCAGTGCCTCACATTTATTACCAAAGTATGTTTTCAATTTGATAAATGATCAGATTAAAATAACTGAATAACATGTAAAGTTAAATTTAATTACTATAAAGTAAGACTGAATAAAAGTCATCACTTGAACAGCAGATAAAATAGTATAAAATAGAAGAATATATAAAAGACAGCGAAGAAAAAGTAAAGTCATTGTTCATAAAAGTAAAAAAAAAAAAGACTTAAGAGGCAGAGATATTTGACTTTCCCTCTTTGGTCCTGATGATTTTCTGGAATGGGATAGTCATTTATGAAAGCAATATTGTGTGGCTTTGTGATTCCTGACTGTGTTTGAGGGTCACTGTGGACAACTTCTTATAGGGAACATTAGAGTGCTTAGTGAAGGAGTAGTAGTGTAAAGATTTAAGGCAGGAAAGTTTGGTTTTGAAGAATGTAAAGATACAAACATTGCCACCCTATATTTATGATAAATATTGGGGGCAGCTAAAAGATCTGTTATGACATACGAATGTGTATGAGCAAAAGAAGTTGAACATTGTATCAGCCTATTGAGCCCAAACTTATTACAATATTTATGTCTCTTTGATGGGATAATATTGGAGCCTAAAAAGACAGACTTTGTTTACTATAAACTTGCTATAAACCACTGGTCTTACAAAACTGGTTCATCAAGTGCATGGCTGAGCTACATCACAGTTCAAATAATAGCTCACTGGTTAGGAAATGAGGGGGTGGGACAATTTCAATACTGGAATCATCTGTTTCTCCTAGTACAACCTTCATCATTAGGTTTCTGTTGTCAGGATTAAATGATTCCATGTGAGCTACCTGGCACTCCTTAGAACAGACGTGTCAAACTCGCAATGTCACGTGATATCGCACGGCGTATTGGAGCTTTTTCCCCTTTGCTGGCAATGGGGTGGGCGCAGGTTTCCTCATGATACGTCCGGCCCACGTGCCAGCAGCTTGACATCCATGCCTTAGAAGAATAGCAGGACAGAAATAATTAAAAAATAATTATGAAGCAGAGTAGCCTTTGGCTTTCATATGCAACAGAAAATGCTGAGGAGTCCATGGAGGAAGAACCATAACTTCTGCAAAGACGTTTTCTGACTCAAACACATAGTAAGTAGGTACATGGAGAAAAGACTTCTGGTGAGGACTCATGGTGAACTAGGTGTCTCTGAAGGAGCAAAAACCGCATTGTGGCAAGATTGGTGACCAGACCTCTATGGATAAAGGAGAGATTGTGAGATTGCCCTCTTGCATTATCGACAGCTGCAGGAACTGAGTTTTCCACAATGGATTCATGAGGTAGCTGGAAATCAAGGGATTCTATCAAGTTTACAGCTGCAGACTTCTGCTGAATGACATTTTTAAATCACTTTTGGAAATTGCCAGTTATTTTTCAACTAGTGAGATCCTTTCAATTGACAAGTTTTCTAAATTGCACTGGATTAGTTTCCATTAATCCTTAACAAAAGTTTTAAAGAGAAGTTTAAGGATATTGCTAACTTAAAGATAAATTTTAAATATTTTTTTCAGAATAAGTAATAAAAGGTGATTAGAATGTTAATTAGATCATTGGTTTTGGAAAATTATAAAGGGACTAGGGGTCCAGATGGATTTGAAATAAGATTTTGAAATTAATTGTGAGGATTCTTTCTATGGGAAAATGCAATTGTTTTGAATTCTTGAAAGAAAACATGGTAGGATGAGATTCTGAACAGTGGATGCTAAAGGTTGCTACAAGTCCAAAGATTACATTAAAGCAGAAGAAGACTTAAATTTGACTACTAACACAGAATGGAGCAAAATACATTACGCTGAACATTTCTGAGGATATATGTAAGATCAAGATTATTTTAAAAAAGGGAAGGAATATAAAGTGGATTTAATTGAACAAGGTTAAAATATAGGTAGTCCTCAATTTATGACCACAGTGAAACCAGAATTTCTGTTCCTAAGTAAGACACTTGTTAAGTGAGTTGTGCCCCATTTTACAATCTTTTTGCCACAGTTGTTAAGTGAATCTTATGGTTCTTAAGTGAATCTGGCTTCCCCCATTAACTTTGCTTCTCGAAAGCCAACTGGGAAGGTTACAAATAGTGATCACAGGACTCCAGGACAGAGCAATTGTTACAAATACATGCCAGTTGTCAAGTGTCCAAATTTTGTTCACATGACTATGGGGATGCTGCAATGGTCATAAGTGTCCTAAGTGACCTTTTTCAGTGCAGTTGTGTCAGGAAAACTAAGTCTCAGAATGAAGATTTGTAACAAATGTCAAAGATAATTTAAAAAGTTTCTTTCAACATGTAAAAAACAAGAAAAAAAGTCAAGGAAATGACCAGTCCATTAATGGGAGAAGTTGGGAAGGAAGTGACAGGCACCAGGGGGACAGCAGAGCTGCTTAATTCATTCTTTGCATTTGTCTTCGTGAAAAAGGAAAAAATAGCCCAGCCTACCAAAAGCAGAACCATAAAAGACAGATTAGGAATACAAGTTAAAATAGATAAGAAAATGGAAAGAAAACTCCTATCCACCCTAGATGAGTTCAAATCACTTTTGAATTGTTTTATTTTCCTTGTGACAATCCATGAACTAAGATTCATGAAAAACATGTTTTTGGAGTTTCAAATACTCAAATCTTGTATTCACTTGTATATTTATCCTCCAAACACCAAAGGTTTGAATTTCAACGTACTGTACAGTTAGGGCCCATAAGTAAATAATTATCACCAGAAACAAATCTGTTTTCTAGCTGTTCCAGGTTTTCTCCTGTATTATACTTACTGGAAGATGAAATGAAATAAACATTAAATATGAATCACTTTGAAGGCTTAAGTGTGTAGAGAACTGACATAATCTGCTGAGCAATGTCAGGAAGATTATTTACTTACAAAACCAGTAAAGATAAAACTAAAAGAATTGTAAAGTTGCAAGGGTCATAGTAAAATCTGTTCTTGCCTATTTCAAATTGCCAATACTTCTGTTTCTACATAAGAGTAGAAAGCAAAATACAATTGCTTAGCTATGCATGACAAGGCTGCTGATTGCTTTGATGTAACATGTTTTTATTTGTTTTAGGTATTTAGAATACAGGGTATCCAACTTTCCAATGCATGATTTTAATTTTGATTTATATTGCATCCAGTATTCATTGTAATAAATTCTGAAAATAAGATTAAATATTTTTATTTTTTAATAAATGAGTTTTTAATATATTGTATAGGAATATGCACCTTATTTATATCTTTATAATTTTAGTAATTATTTTTATTTTAGGGTTGTCAGCCTGATATCATGGTGTTGATGCTTCAGCTAGCATCATCTGTGAACAATATGCACAGTTCTTTGTGGATAAAATTACTGAGACAATTCTTGGCTTGATAACATTTTGGGTAGTACAGTACTTGACATGTAGGGCAATGACATCTATCTGGATCAATTTCATGCATAGCTCAGTAGGTGTTATTAAAATGTAGTCTGACTTGTTAGGTCACCATTGGTCAAACAACTGCTCTAATGATGAAAACAGCACTATAAATCTATCAAGTTGACAGAATTATAGAATTAGATTTAAATCTTCGTTTGGGACTCCCATGCTCATTTCTCTGATTCATTTGTTATGTAATGGGTAAACAATGCTTGAAATAGGTGAAATTTTGTTTTTTTTTTTCTAATAAAAAGATATTTCATCTTTTTATTGTTTAATATATCATGAATCAGTCTTCTTCATTGGCCTGCCAGAGTTGTGCTTCTAAAATATAGCGATTTCTCTATCGTTGCTGTTGTATGGATGAACTACTTTTTCCTTCAGAAGCACTTAATGAAATTTTTCTGTGCTACCGTAGTAAACTTCTTGGGTATGGCAGTTGCTTCTAGGATTTTGAGTCAATTGGAAAAGCTGTGAAAAAACAAAGCTGCTCTAGCAACATCAACAGTACATGGAAAATTGCCTCATATTAATGAATATCTAACCAAGGTGTTTTTTTTTTTAATAAGCAGAGGAATCAAATGCTGTACCTTGGGAATGACTCAGGTTTCTTCCTCTTGAGATAATAGTGCAAAGTGTGTAAACAAAAGCTTACATTTACCATTATTGCTTACCAGCAGCAATAAGACATTTAGGGTTTACTAGGTTAAATGCAGTTACTTTCAAGTTTCCCTTCAAGGGAAGGATGAATGTATTTTTGCCCCAACAACCACACTTTGTTGCCTGGGGATATTTGCTTGCAAATATTGTTTTATGATATCAAGTGTCACTAAGGGGCAAAATGGTTGCCTTAAGCATTTTTATAATTAATTCTCCCCCAGTGGTAAAAATTGACCCCGTGTTTTGGAGGAGAATATTGAAAAGTTTAAAAAGATACAATGGATACTTTAGAACTCACCCATCCTGTACTGTCTATTTTGCCTCTTAACCACCCCCTTTCAGTTCCTCTCAGTAAATCAGGTCTGAACATTTTAACCCACCCATTCCGAGGTTCTCAAGGGCTGAAAATGAAGTGCCAGAGAACTGCCAATTGCTTCTTCCCCTTGCTCTCAGTAGTCCAGTGCACCTGCTGGGGCTCTGCTTGATGCTAAGTGTGATCATTTCTTTGTAAAAGGAAAAAAGTACTTTGAGATTTAGAAATAATATTTCTGTTGATGATAGTATATGGCTCCCTAGCTGTAGATAAAATATAGAATTAAGCAAGTACTTATGAGATATTTAAAAGTATGTTCCTTGTTTAAAGAAAACAATTGAAAATAAAATCTGTTTCTGTATTTTTAGGGAACACATAAGTATCCTACATGAATTACGAAAATCCTCCACCGTATCCTGGCCCAGGCCCAACTGCCCCTTACCCACCGTATACTCAACAGCCATCAGGCCCTGGTCCATATCCTGCCTATCAGCCGGGGCCTGCAGGGCCATATCCAGCTGGTCAACCAGGCTACAATGGTTACCCACCATACGGATGGCAGAATGCTCCACCTCCAGGGCCAGTCTATGCAGATGGACCTAAAAATACAGGTAATATAAATTGTACAGATTGCATGATTTATTACAGATCTAATAGTTAAAGCATGTTAATGAGAACATGTTCAAAGGCTGCTTCTTATTATTGCTAAAATTTTATCCAACTTGGTAATTCTTTGAAAAGAAGAAAGGATTTCTGTCTGTTACTATGTCTGCTACCTTTACTTTGTCTGTTACCTTTACTCTTATTTCTTCTCTATTCTCTAACTGATAGTGATTAGGCTTGATCCAGAACTGGCCAACCTTTTCTTGACTCAGAAGTCAAGCAGGATTGGACCTTATCAGTATCTGAACAGGAGTCTACCAGGGAATTATATAGAGAGTAGGTGATATTAATTAGGCAGCTTCAAGCAAAAATAATTGCAATTTGCTATATGATAAGAAGCAATGACATAGTTTGATCTGCATATACTTTTATTATTATTAGGAGTACTTCAGTCCTTAACCAGATAATAAAGTTCTTATATAAACTGGTTATTTTTTCAAATATAATGTAACTAAGGAATTTTTTACTGCATGCATTTGCTACAAATTGGAATTGGAAGTGAATTAGTGTGAAACTACTATGATGATAAACTGAGGAGAAAAGTACAGAATGCAGTTTCTTATTATGAGAAAATATTGTCTGACTTTTTCTTGCATGGTATGTAGACCTGTTTTGTATGCTGCCCATAAAACATCAGTTTCATTTTCCTAGAGAGCTGCTTCATATATATGTTGATATCTCAAGTAGAATCCTTGATCTCCATCCGTTGAGAAATTGGAAGTTATGACTTTGAGCTAAGACTTTGTATTAACTGTTGAGATTACATTGTCCTTTGCACGTGCAGACAGATGAACACCTGATGTTCTGGCAGTTCAAATGGCATTTTTAGCAGGAGAATGAATTCCATGAATAAAGCATATAGCCATGCTCTAATACTATACTTAAGTGTTTTTCCTATTTTATTTGTTGAAACTGCCTGACATTAAATCAATTGTTAAGGTAGTGATTGGATTATAGATTGTGCAATTCTTGCACAGGAATTAAAGAGAATTCTGTGCATCAGTAGATATGAAAATATTCATGAAGCCATAGAGGAGGGTTACCAAGATTAATTGGTGTACCAGTAGGCTGAAGTTTCTTAAAGGGTGGTGATCAGGAATAAACAAAGTAGACATCTTAATTATTGCAAATTTGATTATTGTAAGTCTTATCTGACTGTTTACTTGTGGATTTTGTTTTACAGAATTAACTTGTAGATAGCTTCATGCTGTCTGCCTCTTTTTCTCTCATCTTCCCACTTTAGCTCCTTTTTCTGAATGTGTCTAGGAAGTTTTTTGTTTCCCTAAAATGTCTGATACCTAAGGAATACTTCCCTCCATGTTGCATACATTTTTGGGGGGGTCTTGTCTGGCCTAAGGGACTACCTCTGAAAAAGTTCTGCATTCATTCTTAATGCAGCTTGACAAAAACACATTCAAGCTAATCCTATGCTTAGATAATAATTTAAAATGAATAATAAATTCTCCAGCACTGGAGACATAGAATCCACCAATGGGTTAACTCTGATAAAGGTCTTTGCCTTCTCCTTTCATCAGACACTATAAGATATACCGTTTTGCCTCCTTCAGTAGGAGGGTCCTGCAACACAGTTTTGACCTCTTCTGTTTCCCACCCATTGGGACAGTGAGGCTTTGGTACTCCCATTGGTGGATTCTACATCTCCAGTGCTGGAGAAGGGGCGTTGGCTTACCTGAACGCCTTTTCTCAGCACGGAGACGTATAATCCACTCCCACCCTTAAAGTCATCATATCAGGGAACCGGGAGCCATCACGTCAAATTGTAGTCAGCTGCTTGCCTTTGTCAAGAATGGGGGAGTGGCTACCCCGGGTGTGACAAGTTGGCTGACCCGGTCTAATGGGCAGGAAGGCAGAGTTAACCCATTGGTGGATTATACGTCTCCGTGCTGAGAAAAGGCGTTCAGGTAAGCCAACGCCCCTTCTCATTAATGGCCATTTTCTGTTTATTGTTTTACAGCTTATTTTGTTTTAAAAACATTGTTTTGCTACCAATATTAAGTTAGGTGATCCTTTCTTTTATAGACCACACTTCAGAGCAGTTATTAACAATCCTTGTTTCTTCTATGCTTAATCAGTAACTAATAATCTGTATAGGTGGAAACCAAACATACTCATGATAGAAGCAAAAGTAAGGTACCTCATTTTAAAATAAAACCACGCAAATTGTTTGTATCGAGTAAAATGGTACTTGTCATAAACGTCAAAGCCTACAGATAAAAAAAGTAAGATTAACTCTGACCTACAGCCGATTAGATAGCAAGTTTCCAAGGAGGCTGGTAGTTCAGTTTCAGTCAAAGGGTTTTATATGTGTGCCTGTGCATTTAAGATTTCAAAATCAATGCAGATATGGCAGAACCGGGTGGGGCAGAGGAGACTTTGGCCTTAGTTTTTATTTACAAGAAAAAAGGGACCAGAAAAGTCTGATACAAAATGTCCATTTTAGTCTAGTTCAATTACAGAAAGTTGGTGGTGCTATCTCTGGAATCAGCTGAAGGGCTTCTGAATTTCTAGGCTCAGTTTTAAGTGATGTTCCCACAACTGTCAAAAATCAGGATAAGAGAATTCTGACTAGCTAATTTTTCAGAAAAGAGCCCTTCCCATTTTTCACAGTATCTCTCCTTGTTCTCGCTGTTATCGTAAGAAAAGAACTGATATATTACTTTAATAGCCAAGCTGTAAGGTGAAATTCAGTTTTGATTTTTTCCTTAGCTATTGCTCCTTGTTCAGATTTAAAATCATGAACATCCTTTCTGCTTAAGTGAGAGTTTAGTGATGGCTGTTTGGAATATAGTCAAGATACTGAGTGACGACATAAAGTGGGTCTGGTTTGCATTTGATAGTTCATAAACAAGTGGCTAAAAGGAAATCAGGTCGTCCTTGACTTATAACCGTAATTGAGCCAAAAAAATGTATTATTAAGTAAGACATTTGCTAAGTGAGTTTTGCCCCATTTTACAACCTTTCTTGCCTCAGTTGTTAAGTGAATCACTGCAGTTGATAAGTTAATAACCTGACCGTTAAGTGAGTCTGACCTCCTCATTGACTTTGTTGTTCAGAAGGTCACAAAAGCTGATCAAATGACCTTGGGACACAGCGATGGTATGAACCACTTGCTCAGCATCTGATTTTGGATCACATGATCATGGGGATGCAAAGGTTATAAGTGTGAGAAATGGTCTGAACAAATCTCTTAAAAAACTTTTTGTGTGTGTGTGTGTCTGTGTATTGTGGTAACCAAAACTGGACGCAATATTCCAAGTGTGGTCTTACCAGTGCAGTGTAAAATAGTACTAGTATTTCACATGACCTCCCTGTTGATGCCACCTATGATTGCAGTGGCTTTTTTAGCAGCTGCAATACACTGCTAGCTCATACTTAACTGGTTATGCACCAGTACACTTAGATCCCTCTCACAGTTACTGCTGTTGATCTGATTCTGTTCTATATCTGTGCATTTACTTTTTCTTGCCTAACTGTAAGACTTTAGTTTTCTCATCACCGAATTGCATTTTGTTGGGCTCAGTGTTCAGGTTGGTTAATTCCTTGATCTTAAGCCTATTTTCTAAGGCTATTTCCCACAGCTTGGTGTCATTTGAAAATTTGATGAGTTCCCATATATCCTTTCACTTAAATAGTTTACAAAGATGTTGAAGGGTACTCAGGCTAAGACAGAATCTTCAAGTAGTCTTCAAGTAGTCCACTGCAAGTTTTTCTCCATGTTGAGAATCTTTGAAAGATATGGTTCAGTGGTTCTGAGATCACGTCTTCCAGTTCCTTCAGAACCATCTGGTCCTGGTGATATGAAGTCCGACCTACATATCCCTATACTTCTTTCTCACTTTAACCAGCCCTTATCATTGTAAAGAACACTGCTTCTAAAAATAGATCTATTGAGTAATGATTATTTCAGAAATGTATGTGAATGTTTCTTTTACTATTAAAAGCAACAAATGTTCTGGAGCAAAATAGGAGAAAAATATGGAAAAATAATAATACAAGTAGCCTTCGACTTATAACCATTCATTTAGTGATCATTCAGAATTACAACATCATTGAAAAAAGTGACTTATAAAACATGCAGCATCCCCAATTTTGCAACATCCCCATGATCATGTGATCAAAATTCAGATGCTTGGCAATTGATTCATATCATGTGATCAGCTGATAAGCAGAGTCAGTGGGGAAGCCAGATTCACTTAACAACTGGGTTATTAACTTAACAGCAGTGATTCACTTAACAATTATGACAAGAAAGATTGTAAAATTGGGCAAAATTCACTTAACATCTGTCTAATTTAGCAACAGACATTTGGGCTCAATTATAGTTGTAAGTTGAGGACAACTGTACAGAAATATGAGCAACATCATAACAGGAACTGCAGCCTGTTTTATAACTTTGGCTGAAATGTCACAAACATTACTGTATAATTACTGCATAACTCTCTATAAGTGTGGGAGAACCAGAATCTACACTACAGTCTCTATAGTAATAAGGGCAAAGGTGGAAGACTAGATTTGGTCCAGCATGTTTAAAGGAGAAAGACTTAAAGGATTTCTTTCTCTATGGCTCCCCATCTTGCTTTGCATGAAGTGACACAGACTTGACCCCCTCCTCCAAATTCCTGAAGTGTTTATTTGGTTGTTCTAAAGAAAGTTCAGTTAGTCTGATGAGATTCTTGTAGGTAGGTAAATAGCAGTAAAGAAACTTCTCTGATCAGGTCAGGGTGTCATTCTGGTTCCTTTGTTCTGACACTATTCAGCATTGGAAAGACAAAACGTGTGGCTCCTGTTCAGGGCTTTGAAGAATTGATTAACATAAAAGTAGTCCTCAATTTACAATGGTTTCTTTAACAGTAATTCAAAGTTACAACACCCTCAGAAAAAGTGTCTTACAACCCATCCTTGGAAGTTATGATCATTACACCACCCC